GAATAAGACAAGGATGTCCCTTCTCACCATTCCCATGCAACGTTATATTGGAAGCCTTGGCTAACACAGTAAGACAGGAAAAGGAAATAAAAGGTACAGATTGGGAAGGAAGAAATAAAAACAAATTCTACTCCTACAAATTCTACAGAATTTTGCTCCTAAGAATTTACCCCCCCCAAATGAAAACATATGTCCACACAAAAACGTGTAATGAATGCTTATAGCAGCTTATCCATAATCACCAAATATGAGAAGTAATTTTAGTTAACTATTGCTGCATAACAATTACCCCAAAACTTACCAGCTTAAGACACCAAACATGCGTTACTTCACAATTTCTATGAGACAGAAATTTGGGAGGAACTTGATTGAGCACTTTGGTTCAGGAATGTTCAGAAATTTGCAGTCAAGTTATCTAAACCAATTAATTATCTGAAATCTTGACTGGGGCTGGAGGATCCATTCTAAGATGGCTTGATCATCTGGCTGTTGACAAGAAGCCTCAGTTCTTCATTGGCTACTGTCAGGAGGCCAGAGCTCCTTGCCACACAAACCTCTTCACCAGGTCCCTTGTTTCCTCACAAAATGGCAGCTGACTTCTAGTGAGTGATCAAAATGAGAACAAGGCATAGTCACAATGTCTTTTTTCAATCTAATCTCAGAAGTCACATACTATCACCTCTGCCATATTCTACCAGTTCCAGAAACCAATCCTGACACACTGCAGGAGAAGTCAACATTAAGGCATGAATACCAGGAGACAAGGATCACTGGGACCATTTTGGAAGCTGGCTACCACAAACCTAGATTTCCACTAACTGGTGAATAGGTAAACAAATTATGGTATAACCATACAGTGGCACAGTAATCAACAATAAAAAGGAACAAACTACTGATATATGTAACAGCATGGAAAAAAGCACAAATGCTAAGTGAAAGACCCAGACCTAGAAAGCTACATACAGTGTGATTACATTTACACACATTCTTGGAAACGTATAACCAGAGGGATACAAAACAGATCAAAGGTTGTCAGGAGCTAGGAAGGGGGCAGTAGAGTGACTACAAAAGGGCATGAGGGAATTTCTTTAGATAATGGAAATACTCTATATTTGATTGTGATGGTGCTTGGAGTTTGTTAAAATTCACACAACTATAACACCTAAAAAAGGTGAGTTTTATTGTAAATCAATTATACCTCAAAAATTACTTATAAAAAGAGAGAGAAAGGAATCCTAAGAGGAAACAAGAGGCTTGGTTGGGAATATTGCTATAGCAGTCTTAATGTGTAAATAACAAGTTTCCAAAGGAAACTTTGGAAAATGTTATTAAACCAATAAAATTATAATTAACGTTACTCAAGCTAAAAAACTTTCTCTGAGCTTAAGTCTACAGATTGAAAATGCCCATCAAATTACAAGTTAGACAGATGAGAGAAAAGATACACATGTATCCTGGCATATCCTGGCAAAAGTCTTGAACTTTAAGAATAGAAAAGTTTAGGGGCACCTGGGAGGTTCAGTTGGTTGAGGATCTGACTTTGGCTCAGGTGATGATCTCATGGTTTGTGGGTTTGGGCCATGCATCAGGCTCTGTGCTGACAGATTGGAGCCTGGAGCCTGCTTCAGATTCCATGTCTCCCTCTCTCTCTGCCCCTCCCCCACCTTCACTCATGCGCTTGCTCTCTCTCAAAAATAAATGCTAAAAAAAAAAAAAAAATTGAAATGCTTCCAGAAAGAAAGAACAAGTTACTTAGAAAAAAAGAGAGACAAGCATAAGCTTTCTTATTTGCAACAAAAAGGAAATAATGATATAGTACCTCAAATTTTTGAGAAGAGGACCACGACCCCAAAATTCTATCCCAATCAAGAGTAAAATAAAAAAATCAAAAAATAAAACTTTTTTAAAAGAAAAAGGGGTGCCTGGATGGCTCACTCAGTTGAACATCTGACTCTTGATTTCAGCTCAGGTCATGAGCTCAACAGTTTGTGAGTTTGAGCTCTGCATCAGGCCCTGTGCTGACAGGGCAGAGCCTGCTTTGGATTTTCTCTCTCTGCCCACCCCACTCATGTGTTCTCTCTCAAAAATAAATAAATAAACTTAAAACAATAAAACATAAACTCTTTAAAAAAAAGAGTAAAATAAAGTTACCTAGGAACATGCAATGACTGAAAAAATGTATCACCCACCTATCCCATCTAGAGAGATAACCAAAAAAAATGCTCACCAAATAATTAAATCATTGCAGAGATAGAGGAGGATAAAGAAGAGACCTTATGAAACCTGCAGTTAACTTAAAGTGGAATTAGTAAAACAAATGGGAAGAAATATATAACAAATGAAAACTTAACTTAGTTTAAAATTAAAAGAAACCATCTAAACAAAAAAGAGTATTAAAGTCAGTCCTGTGTACAAGGAAACTGTAAATAGTTATCACAAACAACTTTTTTGGTTTTTCTTTTGTTTTGTTTACCTGGTTTGCACGATGAGAGTGACCAAACAGCTTGTGACCCAATTTCCCGTACTGTTCCAGTCCTTTCCAACTGCTTAGGGTCAGCACCAGGAGGTGTCTTGTTTGGTGTGGTCATTTTAAAAATATTCTACAAAGAAAACAAGAATATCCACATTATACCAGGACCTGAGCTTCTTTCTACAAAAGGTAAAAATTAAAATTTAGTAGCAAAATGGATCACTACCCTTGATATTAACCATCTATTTCTCAAATGAAGTTAACATAACTCAACCACTATAATTAAAAAATCTTGGGGCGCCTGGGTGGCGCAGTCGGTTAAGTGTCCGACTTCAGCCAGGTCACGATCTCGCGGTCCGGGAGTTCGAGCCCCGCGTCAGGCTCTGGGCTGATGGCTCAGAGCCTGGAGCCTGCTTCTGATTCTGTGTCTCCCTCTCTCTCTGCCCCTCCCCCGTTCATGCTCTGTCTCTCTCTGTCCCAAAAATAAATAAACGTTGAAAAAAAAAATTAAAAAAAAAAAATCTTAGGAATTCAATTTTTGTTTTTAAAATATATTATGATTTACAAGATGTGCAAACAGTACAGTATAATAGTCAAAAGAGCATGGGATCATAGTTTCAACTTCAGCCTCTCCTTTAACTAGCTTAGACTTCGGGCAGGTCTGGGCTTTATTTCTTACCTCTAAAAGGGGTTGACTTGATCTATAATTCCATAATGCTATACAATTCTATACCTCTCTGAATAAAAATTCTTTTTTTAAAAACGATTTTATTTTTAAGTAATCTCTACACCCAACGTTGGACTCAAACTCACAACCCCAAGATCAAGAGTGCATGCTTCGCCGACTGAGCCAGCCAGGTACCCCTCTGAGTAAAAATTCTTAATTCAAATGAATTTTTTTCTTTAGAGAAGTTAAACTGAAATGTTCGTATTCCAGGGATGCCTGGATGGCTCAGTCGGTTGGGCATCCGACTTTGGCTCAGGTCATGAACTCGCAGTCCGTGAGTTGGAGCCCTACGTCAGGCTCTATGGTGACAGCTCAGAGTCTGGAGCCTGCTTTGCATTCTGTGTCTCCCTTTCTCTCTGCCCCTCCCCTGTTCACGATCTGTCTGTCTGTTTCTCTCTCTGTCTCTCTCTCTCTCTCTCTCTCTCTGTCAAAAACAAACTTTAAAAAAAATCTAGAAATATTCTTATTCCAGGAATATGTAAATATTCGTTTCCATTTTTTATTTAGCGAATGTAAATTTGTTTTTGATAACTTTTTATTAAAATATAATAAACAGTGTTATATTAGTTCCAGGTGTACAACATATGATTCAACAATTCTATACATTTCTCTGTGCTCATCACTGTAGGTTTACTCTTAATCCCCTTTATGTGTCTCACCCATCCTCCCATCCACCTCCCCTCTAGAAACCTGTTCTCTGAATTTAAGTCTGTTTATTTTTTTCTGCTTGTTTTGTTTCTTAAATTCCACACGAGTGAAATCATATGATATTTGTCTTTCTCTTATTTCTTTCTTATTTCAGACTTATTTAATTTAGCCTTATACCCCCTAGGTCCATCCATGTGGTTGCAAATGGCAAGACCACATTCTTTTTTTATGGCTAGTATTTCATAATGTGTGTGTATCTACCTATTTATCTATCTCTCTCTATGTGTGTGTGTATACCACATCTTCCTTATCCATTCATCCACTGATGGACATTTGTGTTGCTTCCACATCTTGGCTATGGTAAATAATACTGCAGTGAACACTGGGGTGCATATATCCTTTCAAACTAGTGTTTTTATTTTCTTTGGGTAAATTACCTAGTAGTGGAATTACTGGAGTAATTCTATTTATAATTTTTTGAAGAACTTCCATACTGTTTCCCACAGTGTTTGCACCAATTCACATTCCCTCCAACAATGCACAAGGGTTCCTTTTTCTCCAGCATCATTGCTAACATTTCTTATTTCTTATCTTTTTGATTCTACCCATTCTGACAGATATAAGGTGATATCTCACAACAGATACATGAAAAGATACTCAACATCACTAATCATCAGAGAAATGCAAACAAAACCACAATGAGATATTGGTCTCCATTTTAAATAGTCCATTAAGTGAAACAGAGAAATATCACTTCTCCCCACTAGTTGTCAAAAGTTTAACTTATGTGTGCTCTTGCCATAGAAGATAACGTCAGAAAAAAGGTTTCAAGGCGTAGAAGTGAATAACTGACCCATTCTAAACCCAAAAATTTACTGGAACTTTCTCATCTTTTGTTAATCTTGGTAAGTCTATGCAAACATGAAAAAAAAAAAATCTCTGGGGCCCCTGGGTGGCTCAGTTGGTTAAGCGTCTGACTTTTGGCTTCAGCTCAGGTCATGATCTCACAGTTCATGGGTTCCAGCACTGCACGGAGCCTGCTTGGGATTCTGTCTCCCTCTCTCTGTGCCCCTCCCCTACTTGCTCTCTCTCTCTCCCTCTCTCTTTCTCTCAAAAATAAATAAATAACAAACATTTAAAAAATATTTTTTAAAAATATCTGATAGTGAACATGTAAAACAGCTTATGTAGTGCAAAGTTACAGATACTGAACATTGTTATATATGCTATTATAAACCTGGCCCAGGGAGCCTGGGTGGCCTCAGTCAGTTAAGCAACTGACTCTATTTCAGAGTCAGGCTCTGCACTGACAACAGGGAGCCTGCTTGGGATTCTCTCTCGCTCTCTCTCTCTCTCTCATAAATAAATAAACTTAAAAAAAAAAAAAAAAACTTGGCCCAATATTTCAGTATACCATCTCGTTGACACCTTTTAGATTTCAGTTGTTTCCTAATCTCAACAGAGCTCTTGATACTCATTAAATAATAGTAGAGCCACTAGACTGTAAAATCCAGAAAGGCCTGAGACTTAAATGCTCAGTTAGCAATTTACATAACGAATAAATGGATGAACGAATAGGTGCAGTCCTAAGCTAAAGTATTTGCCTTCTGCAATTTAAGTAAGGTCTAGGATGAGACAAGTAAAACTGTGCGTGTCACTACAAGCTGAATGTCCAGTCATTGTCAAATATGCAAAAATGTCAAATTGTCAAAAAAAAAAAAAAAAAAAAAAAAAAAAAAAAAAAAAAGCCCAACTCTACATAGGAGCAGAATTCAACTGCCTGCTTTGATACTGTACGCCACCAAGTGGAAAAAACGCGGAGCTCGGAAAAACCTGGCTTCCTGGCCACTCCGTTCAGAAGAAACTGAAGCCAAGGAGAGAAGGCCACGGCCAGCAGTACCTGGACCACACTCTGTCGATTCTGCTAGATACCTCTGCTAGAAATACTAGAATGGGCAATGGCTCTCCAGCGGCCTTGAGATCGCGAGCGGAAAAGGGGATTGAGAATAGGGATGCGAACGCATCTGCTTACGAGAGAACCATTCTCCAGGACAGGGCGGAGGAGAGAAGCTCACGCCCTTAGAGCTTGCAGACCCGGCTTGCCGCAACCCACCTTTTTAAGATTCCCTGCAGCTCGGTGCCACTCCCACTCAGGACAGCCCGGCTTTCCCACAGAAGTTAATTTGGAGTCGCAGGACAATGACGTCAGTTCTCGCCAGGGCTCCGCCTGTCGCTCTCTGTCGCGCGTGCGCACTGCGTCCCTAAGGCATGCGCGAGGCGGTGGTTGAGCACCGCCATTTTGGCCGGTGGCCGTAAGAACACGCTGTGTGAGAGAGAAGTGAAAGGAAGAACGGACTTGGCTTCTGCGCTCTCCTCCGCAAGGGAGTCGTTTTCTCCAGGTACCTGAATGGCCCGGGGTGTTTGGCCGTTAGCTGTGGTCTCCCACGATTTAAAGACAGTAGGGACGTTGTCCGAGAGCCTTTGGTGAGGCCTCTGGTGTCAGCAGTGAAGGAGGCAGCGGCGCGTGGCAGCCGGCTCGGGAGGGACAGCTGGAACCGCCGAAGCGCGGACGCTGCGGAGGGCTTAGAGGTGCGTCGCGCATCCCCTCCAGCTGACCTGGCTGTTGGCCACTGTTGCCAGCCACCCCCCCGCCAGGGGCTACGAGAATGGATTTACATGCTCTCTCAGAGATGTAATCTCCACCGTCTCCACTCCCCCTTTACTACTACTCTTGCCCTATTACAGAGAAGAAGGCAACTTCAGAACTCAAAGCATCGTCGTTTCCCCCCCACCCCCCATCCTTACCCTGACACAGTGAAATGGACTTATTGGCACATGTGCGTATTTGATTATAGGAAGTCGTGGCCTTTTCTTCCTCGGCTTTTCTGGTGATTATGGAATGAGTCATGGCATTTTGCCGTCTTTATAGAAATGATGGCCAGCTGTAGCTCTACTTTTCTCATAGAGCAACGTGTATTCGATTATCCCAAGTAACCTCCCAGTTGAATGCCTTTAGCTTTTTGGTGCGCTTTTATAGCACTTGGTACTTTCTTCTTGGTGACTTACTTGTTTTCCCCTTATGTCTTAAATTGCATGAGATCAGGGGCGCATTGGTTCGTACCTTGTAGACGCGAAGTCCAAAGCCTATTCTGACATCCCGTAAGCTACATAAATGTATTTTCTCTTATTTTGTGTATGGTAGTCCGTAACAGTGAGAAATAACTGTCAAAACAGTGGGGAGGGATGTGGGAGGGTTTTTGGGGGGGGGGGGTTGTTTTACCCTCTCTTGCACAGAGACTGCTAGTTAGGCATTTACGATAGTGGCATTTGCGTTGCATTTCTCAGTACGTTTGTCTCCTATACTGAGAATATTCATCCTATATCAGCTACCTAACAACAGTGCTTTGTCAATATTAGCCAAGGGCTCTTATCTGTATTTGTATCAAAAAGGGTATTTTTTTTTCCCGTTAAAAACCATGTTAGCCCCATAAAAATTTTTTTTCAGGAGAACATTTAATATGGTTTCTGGGGGGAAAAAGTGGTATTATTTTGTTGTCCCTTCTAAATGTCTTCAGTGTAGGATTCTGAAATCAGAGTTGTGCACCACTCCCAACTTACATGTTTTATAAGACTAATAACCTGCAGTAACCATAAGTTGGGATATTTTATGTGATACCAAGCATCATTTGTTAAGAGCAATCTCTTAAGTGCTTTCACATGGTGTTATAATAATTTTGGTCTTAGACTACAAATGCTTTTCATAATGCCTCACTTCCTTTTTTCTTGCCAGCTGGAAGAATAACACTGAGGGTCATTGTTTGAGTACCTATTTTGAAAAGTTTGTATTCAGATCTGAAATATCTTCACATTTCTCTTTGTTTCCAGAAGTCTGTTACTAAACTCTACCTTCCCCCACCCAAGCCTTACAGCCTGTATCATTCTCATTGAAAAAGAAAGTAGGGATCCCCCCCCCCGCCAATTCTTGAAAATAATATACGAATTTAATCAGTAGTGTTTACACAAGTAACAGTTATACAAAGATTCTGTATTCCTTATTCTTAAATGCATTATAACTTACCACTTTCTTACATAAATCTGCTTATTAGTCATCTCTGATAATGTTTTTATTTTTCTATAAAAGTCATCTCACATTCACTTAGTTTTTAAAAAGGTTTTTTGAAATATCAGATGAAACACTTAAGTAGTTTGACAGAAATAAAGTTGAACGTAAACAATTTTGTGATGAAAGATTTATCCTCTAAAATGAACTTCATGACATTCATTCATCGGATAATTTGTATGGTGTCCAGCTTTATTTTAATAACTAACGAATCTTCAGTTTTCAGGGAGTTGTCACTTACAATGAAAGCTTTTTTTGTAGCAATTCAAAAGTTATTTGATTTCTTTCTCTTCTAGTCTTTATGAAAACTAGACCAGCTTTTAAAGGGGTAATGGGTCTAGAAGTTACCATTACCATTCTGTTTATTACATAAATACTTAGTCTCCTTTTGGTTGATTTTTTTTTTTCTCACTACATACTTTAGTGGATAGCTGTTGCTATGAAATATTGGTAATTTGCAATATTTCTGAAGTCACTATAACCTATAGGAAAACTATTTACTATTTTTAAATTAATTTTCTCATTTATTCAACAGAAATACTTGAGCTTTTATAATATGCTGGACACTGGTTTAGCCACTGGGCTGAACAGACAAGAAATCTCTGCCCTCATGATGGAGTACTTTTTACTTGGGGAGGAAAAAGTACTGTCTGTGTGTAGAGAGAAAGAATATATAAATACATGTATACACACGATAAATACATACATAAACCATATATACACATACATATGAAATATATACTGTGCAGTATACTAGAAAGAGCTAAAGAGAAAAATAAAGCAAATCAGGAAAGAAAAAACCAAAACAGTGGGTGTATTTTTTGGTAGTATAAGCTAGAGAAGGCTCACTGAGAAATAAACATTAAAGACTTGAAGTAGTGAGCCTTGTAACTCACTAGGGGGAATAGCATTACACGCAGAGAGAATAGAAAAGGTCAAGGCCCTGAAGCAAGAACTGTCTGACATGTGCTCTAAGAACCACAAGAAGCCAAGGTGGTTGGATCAAAATGAACAAGAGCTGGAGTAGTTGGAGTTGAGATGAGAAAGTAGTATAAGCTAATCAGTACCTCATTTGTTATTTTAAGGACTTTGGCTTTTACTCAGAATGAGTAGAGAAGCCTTTGCAGGACCTTAAGCAGAAGAGTGACATGATATGGCTTACACTTCAAAAGGATCACCCTGGGGCACCTGGGTGGCTCAGGCAGTTTGGTTCTTGAACCCGGCATCGGGCTCTGTGCTGACAGCTCAGAACCTGGAGCCTGCTTTGGATTTTGTGTCTCCCTCTCTCTTCCTCTCCCCCACTCACATTCTGTCTCTCAAAAAATGAGTAAACATTAAAAAAATAAAAGGATCACCCTTACTTCTGTCATGAGAAGGAACTGTCAAGGGTTGAAGTAGAAGTAGGTAAAAGTAAAGCAGAGAGACCTGATAGGGAGCTATTAGAGTAATGCAGGTAAGAAATAATGATGGCCTAAACCAGAGTGAAGAGAAGTGGCCAGATTCATGAAGGTAAATTGTACAGAATTTGCTGCTGTGGCATGTAAAAGATAACTTCAAGGATTTGGGCTTAAGTAAATGGAAGACTGGAGTTGTCATTTAACAGAATGGGCAAGACTGCTAGAGAAGCACATTTTGGTTGGGACTTCTGGTGTGCAGTTTGGGAGATGGTATATTAGACCTTCAGGAAGAGATGTTGGGTAGTCAGGTAGATAAACAAGTTTACGGTTAGGAGAGGTGTCATGACTAGAGCTAGAAATTTGGGACTTAGCAGCATATAAATAGGATTTAAAGCCATGAGATTAGAATAAAACACCTTAGAGAATGAATATAAATTTAAAAAATGTGACAGTATTAGAGCACTCTTCAACTTTTAGAAGCCTAGAAGATAAGGAAAAGTGACCAGGAAAATAGGAGGGAAACTGGATCAGTACTATGTCCCAGAACCAAGTTAAGAAAGGGTTTCTGCATAGCAGGAAAAAGTCATATTTTGTGTTAGATGCAATAGGTTGTTCGAGTAAATTAGGAACTGTTAACTATTTGTTTTACCCATGTATAGAACAGTGGTGGACCTGACAAGCTATTCTGGTGGAATGATGAGCACTAAAGTCTGAAATGAATTCCAGAGAAAATACACAGACATTTGGAACACTGACTATAGCTATACAGCTCTTCCAAATAGTCTTGCTATAAAAGGAAGGAGGGGGCGCCTGGATGGCTAAGTTGGTTAAGCATCCTACCTACTCTTGATTTTGGCTCAAGTCATGATCTCACAGTTCATGGGATCCAGCCCTTCATTGAACTCTGCTCTGACAACGCGGAACTTGCTTGGGATACTCTCTCAAAATAAATAAGTAAACATTAAAAATAAGTGGAACGAGAAATAAAGCAATGGAGGAATATGGGGGAAGATAATAGATTATTTGAATGCTGATGAAAATGAGCCAGTGGAATAATTGATGATATGAAGTACAGGAGAGAATTGTTAGAAAATTCCCCTTAGTAGGGGCGCCTGGGTGGCGCAGTCGGTTAAGCGTCCGACTTCAGCCAGGTCACGATCTCGCGGTCCGTGAGTTCGAGCCCCGCGTCGGGCTCTGGGCTGATGGCTCAGAGCCTGGAGCCTGTTTCCGATTCTGTGTCTCCCTCTCTCTCTGCCCCTCCCCCGTTCATGCTCTGTCTCTCTCTGTCCCAAAAATAAATAAACGTTGAAAAAAAAAAATTAAAAAAAAAAAAAAGAAAATTCCCCTTAGTAGATGTCTTTTAGTGTGCAAGTGTACTTCACTGTAGAAATTTATATGGGATTGCTGGTTGGCTGGTTCACTTGAGATGACACTAACCAGCAAGGCTTTGCTTTTGTCTACCCATTTTCGGCTTTACATGTGCAGGTGAAGAGTTGTATGTAACTAGGATTATAGTTTAGGATATAAATGATTAACGGTGGAATTTTAGCTGGGTACAGAGGGACATGAAGTTAGAAAAACTGAGGGACAGTGGTAATATGGTAGAATTAAGAGATAATGATAGTAGGTCTGGGGAATGGGGAGTTCAAAGGGTTGTTGGATTGTTGGGTACGAGAGGGGTAAACTGAAAAGACAGGAGTAGTAATTGAAGAATGGGGTATTTGAAAAGAAGGTTATAGAAGGATTGCAGTCATTGGTAATAATAAGGTCAAAGCGGGGCGCCTGGGTGGCTCAGTTGGTTGAGCATCTGACTTCGGCTCAGGTCATGATCTCACAGTCCGTAAGTTCGAGCTCCACATCAGGCTCTGTGCTGACAGCTCAGGGCCTGGAGCCTGCTTTGGATTCTGTGTCTCCCCCTCTCTCTGCCCCTCCCCTGCTCATGCTCTGTCTCTCTCTGCCTCAAAAATAAATAAAAACATTTTTAAAAAATTAAAAATAAGGTCAAAGTTTTCACCAAAGGAATGAGGATGAAAGACAAGATCACTGGAGGAGAGAGGTTACTGAAGTAAGAGAACAGGCTGTTAATAGGAAGATCATCTATGAACATACTGAAATCAAGAGTTCTGACAGGATTTGTAAAAGAGTAAAATTTAGCCTAGGGCTGAAATGAGGATGGGAGTGATATGATGGTTAGTAAATGGAAGCAGTTGGATGACCTGAGAGGCAAAAGCTGACTATAATGAGGAGGGAGAGATAAGATAGTCTGGGAGGAGCATGGAGCATAATCTCTTATCCCACTCCAAACCTAAAGGTATTGCGGAGTGAGAAAGAGGTGTACAAGGGAAAGCAGTCAGTCAAAACAAAATCAGAATTAACACAATCCTTGATAGAAAAGGCCAACAGAATGTCTTTTTTGATGGGTATTCTTTTGGCTTCAGGTTCTGCCATTACATACTGGAATAACCTGGAGTTTTAAGATAGTTTTCAGAATTATTTAATCACCATTCTGAGAAAATTGATGTCTGTCACTAAGCCCAACATGGTAGAAGATTTTTAAGTTCACTTTGAGCTTAGCTGCATAATTGATGGTACTGTTAAATATCAAGACTTACAGAAGCTTTAAAAGTGAGCACAATCTACATGTATGGTTCCTTGGTCTTTTCATTTTAATGCTATTAGCATAAGTGTCATCTTGGCCATATTACAAATTCTTAAAGAAATGGCAATTTTTAACTTTTCCCCTTAGTCAACATCAGGGTCACAGCCTTAATAATTTCCTATTTCTGTTATTAACATCCTTAATAGATAAGACATGAAGTAATACTTAATTTGAGAGAGGGAGTAAACATCTTTATTATATGTATTACTTTTTCACATCAACTCTTTCTATTCTGTTTTATTGGACTGTACTCATACACTGGTATCAGTATTAATTACTGAGACATTATATCATTTTTTTCCATCTGTTAAATCTAGGTTCCCCCATTCCATTTGCTCTTTTTCCTTTTCCTAAACCATTCTTTTTGCATAAGAGCTTTTGGTTTGGCTTGTCTGGTTTAATGTTTTTTCCTTGAAATTGGATTAAATGTATAATTTGGGCGAAGGTTGAAATGTCTGATATTGACTATTCTGTATTGTAAAAACTGAGATAGTGCGTAATTTGATGAAGTCTTTTTATGTTTTTAAGTTGTGATTTGAAAGTTTTCTCACATGTATATATTTTGTAAGATGATTCCTAGATCTTTCCTTTTTTGTGACCAGTGTGCTTTTTCTTTCTTTATATAAATCTTCTGATTAGTAATATATATGTAAAATTTTGTTTTCTCAACGTGACTAAGTCATTTCATTGATTTCACTAGGTTTTTTTTTAGTAGTTCTAGATAATCATATCTGAATGTAGTGATAATTTATGTTCTCTCCAACTTTTATGCCTATGATTCATTTCTCTTAACTAATTGCGTTGACTGTGCCATAATTTTGTTAACTTTTCTTTTAATAGAAAAGCTGGATATTCTTACTTAGAATTATGGCAGATAAATTAACAAGAATTGCTATTGTCAACCATGACAAATGTAAACCTAAGAAATGTCGGCAGGAGTGCAAAAAGAGTTGTCCTGTGGTTCGAATGGGTAAGCAGTTCTTTGGATCATTTAAAGATAAGAAAAAGTTTTAAAAAAATTGACTTCATAGTTCTCTAGGCATATACTTAGTTTCTTTAAACTGTAAAAATAAGACCAGATTTTGTTCTAAATTTTTTATTGCTTTGTGACTAAACGGTCCTATTTTTGCTAATGGTAGAATAATGTATTACCAGTATTTTTTAAAGTTCATTGGCTATAAAAGCAGAGTTTGTTACTAAGATTCTTACTGTTCTACAAAAATTCTATAATTATTTAAGTCTTGGAGAGAAGACTACCAGTATATTTTGGTTTTGATAGTATTCTCATTTTAAAAAGCAGGAATAAATAGCTTAATAAGAATGACTAATTCATGAGGTTTTACTATATATTTCCAAAATTAATTAATTTTCAAAATTAATTTAAAACAATTCAGAATTATTGGTAGTCTTTGAGGGCTATGTTATAATTGTTACTTTAACTGTACTAGTGAGGTGTACTCTTGAATCTTAAACTTTAGATGTCATCTATTATAGTCTGCCGTGCTATTTAGAAATTCTGTTATTAATATCTGTAATGCCAAGTTTAATTTCTTGTGTATATTGGATGACTACATACCTTTTTGGAGCTTTACTGGTTTAGCTAACGTATTACATTCCTTTTCCTGGTGTACTTTGCCATTTCCAAGGTATATTTTGTGAATTAAATATTCAGGTCATTCAGCTTAAAAATAAAACTGTTTTAGGGGCACCTGACTGATTCAGTCAAAAAAGCATGTGACTCTTGCTCTCAGGGTCCTGAGTTCAAGCCCCATGTTAAGGGTAGAGATTACTTAAATGAATAAATAAACTTTTTAAAAAATAACAAAACTGTTTTAGGAAGCATATTTTCTTCCCCAGTAGTAAATTAATATATATTAATAATTATAATTAATTCCCACATAGCACTGTTTTTTTTAGGATATTATCTCAAATGTATTTCTTCCTGTGTTCTTTGTTTTTGAAAATCAGCTTCTGTATGGAGATTTGGAACCAGAATTACCTAAATAACAATGTTCAGAAAATTAGAATGGCAGGGAAAATGACTTCATTCTATCTTTTCTTTTGCCAGGAAAATTATGCATAGAGGTTACACCCCAGAGCAAAATAGCATGGATTTCTGAAACCCTTTGTATTGGTTGTGGTATTTGTATTAAGGTAAGTGATATTTTATTTATCGGATCACATTTGCAAGCTGAAAAAGAAGTCAGAAAATTCTGAATATGTTATAACTGGTTTTTCTAATTTTTTATTTTTTTAGAGAGAGAGAAAGCACAAGCAGAGAGGGAAGGAAGGAAAGGAAGGAAGGAAGGAAGGAAGGAAGGAAGGAAGGAAGGAAGGAAGGAAGGAAGGAAAGAGAGAGAGAGAGAGAGAGAGAGAGAGAGAGACTGAGACTCTCAAGCAGGCTTCACGCCCAGCACGGAGCTCAACATGGGGCTCAATCCTATGACCCTGGATCATAACCTGAGCCGAAATCAAGAGTCGGACACTCAACCGACTGAGCCACCCAGGCATCCCCATTATAACTATTTTTAAAGAGGCAAAATATAAAGCAGCGAATAAAGAATATAAATTTAGGAGAATGGTATTCTAGCAAAAATCTAATATTGTTGCTTTTTTAATTAATTAAGCCACCCTATGTAAAAGTTATCCTTGCCACACTCAACTTTGGAAAGCCGTTTCCAACCAAAATTAATTTCTTTTTTCATCCTTTTTTTATTTCACCCTTTTATGAGAAGGACATTCTAGAGCATGTCTTTACAAGTACTTTTGGAAACGTAAATACAAAAAGTATGAGTCATGTTACCTGCAGTCTTTTCAAGTCTGTATTTAATTTTAAATCACATCTTTTAAACAGAAATGCACTCAGCCAAAATTTTTTTAATTTAACGCAATAATTTTTCAAAATACCTCAATTAGCCTGGGTGGCTTGGTCGGTTAAGCGTCCGACTTCAGCTCAGGTCATGATCTCACCGTCTGTGAGTTCGAGCCCCGCGTCGGGCTCTGTGCTGACAGCTCAGAGCCTGGAGCCTGTTTCCGATTCTGTGTCTCCCTCTCTCTCTGCTCCTCCCCTGTTCATGCTCTGTCTCTCTCTGTCTCAAAAATAAATAAACGTTAAAAAAAAATTAAAAAAAAAAAAATACCTCAATTAGTTTTTGTTGCATTGAATGGTTTAGTTAAGGCTTTCAAGTTTAAAATGATAGATTTCCAAACTTAGTTCATAAATAATATTTAAGAACCAGTGCATTATGTTTCTAATTTAGACATTTGTAGATAATTATTTTAAAAAAGGGCTTTTACCAGAGTATGGATACTACCCTGTTACTGATTCTCATAAGGTTTATGTGTATTTTATATTGGTTTCTGAATCTTTAATTAAGTGTCCAAAAGAATTTCATTGGTATGAAAGTGTTTTCCCTCGTTTTGAAAATACAAGCAGGAAACATTCCTTCCAGAAAACATTTACTAATCTCTTATGTACCTGTCAGTGTTGGAGGTGCTGGAGATCTGATTTTGAACAATATATTCTACCCTATTTTCTTCTTCACTGATATAAAAAAATGAGATCTCAAATTTTGGGGTATACACTTCAGTGGCTGAAAGGATACTGATATGAGGAATCTGTGGTGGGGATAATAGATACCCTCTGAACACTAAGGTACTTATAGTGCACCGCATACATGAAATAGTATTCTAAACAGATGTTTATATTACTTACAGCCTATAACCATTTTATGTACATTTGTGGAATAACAGAAAATTCTGTAAATGGAGGTAACTCTATTGGCAGAAAACTATATTGTATACAGAATTAGTAGTTTGGGGGTGCCTGGGTGGCTCAGTCGGTTAAGCGTTCAACTCTTGGTTTCGACTCAGATCATGATCTCATGGTTCTCGAGTTCAGGCCCCACATTGGGCTCTGCGCTGGCAGTATGGAGCCTGCTTGGGATTCTCTCTCTCTCCCTCTCTCTCTGCCTTTCCCCCACTCGCTCTCAAAATAAATAAACTTAAAAAAAAAAAAAGATTCTCTTTCCTTCTGTCAATGTCCCTCTCTCTTGCTTATACACTCTCTGTCTCTAAATTAAAATAAATATATATATGTATATTTTTTAAAAGAAATAATGGTTTTGGTTAGAAGGTGGTAATTACTTTGTTAGAATATAAGAATTTTTGTTTTTTAATTTTCTGTGTTCTTAAAACTTACTGAGAATTCACTGAAATCGTTACATACAAAGATTTTTAAATTGATCCCCTCAACTCTTTGAACAGTTCTGCTAAACAGATATCTAATCTGAGGTTATATTCTTTGAATGTATCTTTATAGCTGTCTGAGCAATGTCTGTAGTCATATTGATGCTCTTAAATGATCTTCCAGTTCTTGCCATTCTTATTCCTTGGATTTTTATTTGATTGATAATGAACTTTTCTTCGAGTTTTTCTATAAGTAAACTTTTTTTTAATGTGAATTTACTCAGTTGCAATATAAAGCATCTGTTTCATATGGGACGGTTAAAAACCACAATGGAAAGACATTAATCCTTGCTCTGTGCAGATATTATGCTAGCTGTTGGTGGGATGTAAATAGACCGAAGTAAGTACCATCTGGAAAGGACTTAACCTTAAATCTGACTAAACGTTAACCATAAAGACCTTAAAGGACTTTACAAAGTACAAAAAAAAGCATACAAAGACAGGAAGAAGGAGGTAGTGAGAAAGCATCTGTCAACTGAATATGGAATGATATACTCAATAAACATGTTTTATCTTGCCTCTTAGCCATATCTAATGTTAAAACACACACACAAATAGCCCTCAATTTTTGTAAGGTTTTTCATTAAGTATTAAAATCTAGAAATATGCCAGTCACTAACGGAGATACAAAATTAGTTAAAATGATTCTTGCCTTCAAGGAATTTAACTTTTATTTTTTAAGTAGATAAGAAAATGAAGCAGTATTTTACATCTTGTGGAAGTCCCACACTTGGGGTTTTTTGTTTGTTTTTTGGTAATCTCTACACCCAGTGTGGGGCTTGAACTGAACCCTGAGAACAAGAGCCACGTGCTCTTCTGACTGAATTAGTCAGGTACCCCGTAATTCCCCCATTTTGAAGATTGTTTATAAAAAATTCTTTATCCGTTTTAGTCATATGTACATTTCTAGAAATTAACATAAAATTCTTTACTTTAAATAACAGAAATGTCCCTTTGGCGCCTTATCAATTGTCAATTTACCAAGCAATTTGGAAAAAGAAACAACACATCGATATTGTGCCAATGCCTTCAAACTTCACAGGTATATTTTCAAGTCAACATTTTTCTACTTTGATCAAGAGTAAAATACATTTGAAATTTTCAGAGAAAGATGAAAATGGGAAGAAGTATTAACCATCCACTAAAGAGAAATGCAAAATTATAATGTATAGAATCATACTGTATATGTCAGTGTTTCATTCTGGCTAACATTAGAATTACTTGGGTTTTTTCTTTAAAAACTAATGCCTAGGTTTCAGCCCAGTTGAATTACATTATATCTCTAGATATTGAATCTAGACCTCAATAAGCTGAAAAAGCTCCCAAGTGATTCTGATATACAAGTGAGGTTGAGAATTACTATTAATAATACTCATATCCCCAAAATAACTTTTAAGGAACTTGTTTTCTATTTTCATTATTTACTAATCTCCTCTACAGAGACTATTACTCTCAACTTAAACATATATTGTTAAATCACAGGAGTGCTTTGAGGTTTTTAATCTGCTAAACACTGTTATTCTGAATCTGAGAGTCTAGATTTAACTAATAAAAAGGTATTTCTCAACCTGCCAGCTTTAAAGAGCCTACTGCAGCAGGGAGAATGAAGTGGAGTATTTCTGGTTGATGTGGCACTATTCTCCTTGTAAGTAAATGGCAGGACAAAAAAAAAAAAAAAAGACAGTGTGAGGTTGCACCTGCTATTTAATTTTGTATCAGAGCATTTGGTTATACATTAAAACTGAGCTTTATATGTAAAGGAGAATTACTTTAGAATGGACATGAATGAAAATTGAAAATAAAATTTAGAGTAATATTGGTCATGGATGCATTTCTAACAATTAACAGTTTAAGTTACTTTTGGCTGTTTTTTTTTTTTTTCTAATAGCCAATAATATCTGGCATATATCTCTTAGCTTATTAATGGTTGTGTGTGGAGTGCAAGTGCATTAAAATACATGATTATGGTATTATGTAGCTTTTTCTACCTAAATCCTAGTTTTATTTATTTATCCATTTTTGTATACTTAATGACAGGTTGCCTATCCCTCGTCCAGGTGAAGTTTTAGGATTAGTTGGAACTAATGGAATTGGAAAGTCAACTGCTCTAAAAATTTTAGCAGGAAAGCAAAAGCCAAACCTTGGAAAGTATGATGTATGTATACTACTTCATGAAAATGAATACTTAGGTCAGTTTTGTGAGACTTTGAAGGAAAGGATGTAATTTTTTTAATGTTCTTATTTTCAGTATCATTCATTAATGCTGAGAAATAATATATAGATGAAACTCCTTTTTAATTAAGATCTGTTAATGCTACTGATAAATATGAACTTCCTTAAACTGTTAATGATGTTTTAAAAGCCAGAAGGCTTCTATTTGGATGTACAGTTGACCCTTGAACAATGCGAGGGTTAGGGGTCATGACCCCCCCTCCACACACAGTCGAAAATCTGTGTATGACTTTTGACTCCCCAAAACTTAACTGTTAATACCCTTTGGTTGACCAGAAGCCTTACACCAGTAACATAAACAGTTACCTATCTTGTACATGTATTATATACTATAGTCTTAAGGTAAAGCAAGCTAGAGAAAAGAAGATGTTATCAATATTAAGTAAGTCATAAGGAAGAGAAAATAGATTTATGGTACTTTATTATAGTTATCAAAAAAAATTCACCCATGTTGTTCAGGAGTCAACTGTGTAATAGTCCTCTTTTTTGCATTATTATGTATTATTAAATTCAGATAATTATATTTCTAGGATCCACCTGATTGGCAAGAAATTTTGACTTACTTCCGTGGATCCGAATTGCAGAATTACTTTACCAAGATTCTAGAAGATGACCTAAAAGCCATTATCAAACCTCAGTATGTAGACCAGATTCCCAAGGCTGCAAAGGTCAGTTGCTCTTTAGGAGGAATTTATGTATTTTAGATATCTGTGGAGGTATAAAATATGTATCAAACTAAACTTATTTTGCTTTGTAACTTTTTAATATTGAAGGAAAATAGTAGTAACTATTTCTGATATATTATGATAGGGGACAGTGGGATCTATTTTGGACCGAAAGGATGAAACAAAGACACAAGCAATTGTATGTCAACAGCTTGGTAAGAGTTTGTTTTGTGTTCATGCTTTAATAGGCCCTGAACTTAACTCATAAAGATAGATACTTATCATATAGATTACTGAAATACAGGGGAAAATCTCTAGGAATTGTTGTATTCACTTTTTACATTAACAGTTTTCAACTGAAATATCATTCATACCCAGAATGATGTGCGATATATACATTTTGCCTAGAAGAGGTAAAAGAAAACTTAACAACATTGAACACAATGCCTCTATATTCTTTGTAGATTTAACCCATCTAAAAGAACGAAATGTTGAAGATCTTTCGGGAGGAGAGTTGCAGAGATTTGCTTGTGCTGTCGTTTGCATACAGAAGGCTGATATGTAGGTTGCTTTGCAAATTTTGTACGTCTTAATCTTTATTTTAGAGTTTTTATTTGTAATACTATTAAGGCATTGCTTTTGAGAGAAGTTAACAGAAATAGTATCTAAAGTTCTGCTTTTGAGCTAAGATGTTGAAACATTTATGCATCCATTGCCATTCCCTGTTATTCCCAAAGGGGGAGAGTAACTCATTTATTTAGATAAGTACTTCACAATTTATGGGTTACAGTGCTGTTTAATATGATCAGTTGCATATTACATAAATTCTGTACATAAAAGGATTTTTTTTAAACTTAAGCTCTCCAACCAGGCCAGCAAGGTTTTTAAATACCTCAAGTAAAACAGGTCTTTTAGATTACCCTAAATCAGGGTGGCATGTCATGTGAGAGAGAAAAGGGAAGAAGGAGTTTCCTTCCTACCTTCTAGTGCCTCTCTTTTCCCAGATATATTGCTCCCACCTTTTTCTACATTCCTACTCTGACATCCAGCGCAGGCTAGCCCTTTTCCACAAAGTGTTCTATAATTCTGTGCGGTGCCCTCCTTTTCAAAAACTCATTTGCTTTAACGCAATGGACTTTAATCAAGAGCAAAGCTGTCTGAATTACTTCAGACTTTATCAGAATATTTTTTCATGAGGCAATAACACTTTGTACATTAGCTTAATCAGAGAGTCTCTCCCCAGGCTTGATAATGCAGCCCTGCTTTTGCAATTTTTTTTCTTTCTACTTCTGAACAGAATACAAAAGTTCTTACTCTTACGCAGTGGACTCCTCATTGGTGTAAGAGAGTATGGTTGTTGTTAAATCAGAAACTATATTACAGAGCTTTAAAATATCATGTAAGATAGAATTATATCCTATTTGTCTTACAAATCATTGTGTTTGCTTTTCTTTCTCATAGTTTCATGTTTGATGAACCTTCTAGTTACCTAGATGTCAAGCAGCGTTTAAAGGCTGCTATCACTATACGATCTCTCATAAATCCAGATAGGTGAGTATAGATTGGTATGTCTGTCTTATTTTGTTTGGGGAGTTATACAGATTTCTAAAGATTAAACACTGGGGCCATCAATGTCATATGTATGTATGTTTTCTATCAGTTATTTAGAGCCACCACTGGTATTTACCTTCCTCTATCTAGAACAGATGTTCTTTATGCAAGACTTATTTACTACCTGCTATTTAATGCCTGTCTCCACAGAGCGTAGGAATACTTTGGAATGATTTGAAAGTTCTGGCATCTGTGTATGGATTTCTGGGAGGCAGATTCTTAGCTTTTACCAGATTCTCAAATGAATATGTCACTCAAACACACACAAAATTTACAACATTATAAGGATCACCACAGTAACTCTGGTTATTTAGGGTCTTACTGAACTCTATAGTTCTTAATAACCTGTTAAGTAATCACAGCACCCTGTAGTTATGGGATACTTTTGTAATTTTCAGTTTTTAAATCCATTCTCTCATTTGAGCCTCATAGCAATCTTGTGTGTTAGACTCTTTGGTAGTATTCCCATTTTGTAGATGAGGAAGATTAAGGTCAGATAAGGTAGTTATTTGTTCTATGTTACAAATTTACTACATGGCAAAACTATGGGATTTTTTTCTGTGTAGTATTTTTTGTGCCTCTCATTAATGACTAATTTAATCTCCAGCTATTACAGAATGCAAGAGAAATCCCTAGGGATCAAAAACCAAAGAAAGAACTATAAATTACAAAGAAGAGACTAGAATATGGCTGGAATATGGAATCGAAATTTAGATAATCGGGATAATCTTCTTCACAGTAAGAAAGTAACATAAAAAGAGGGTCTCAGAATCTTTAGTCCTGTCCTATGGTACCTAGCAGAAGCAAATATAAAATCACTTTGCAGGGATATGCCCTCAACCCTGGTCTGGTCACAGGATTCCTACAAGTAAAGACTCATGAGCTAAAATCCAGGGCTATAAATGATTAAGAGGAAAGCATCTGCAAAGGAGGCAGTAGACACAACAGACAACAGGATTAGACCTTCAAGGAGGTCAGGTGACATTCTCAAACTATAAAATAGTTGTATCTAAAATACACCCCACAGGTGCCCCCGAGTGGCTCAGTCGGTTAAGTGTCTGAATCTTGATCTCCGCTCAAGTCATAATCTCACAGTTTGTGAGTTTGAGCCCCGTGTCAGGCTTTGCACTGACAGCACGGAGCCTGCTTAGAATTCTCTCTCTTTCTGTCTCTGCCTCTAACCCTCCTCCTGCACGTGCACGCTGTCTCTCACACTCTCAAATAAACTTTAAAAAAAATAATAAAATACAAACATAAAAAAGGATACAAAACCCTAAGAATATGGTACCAGAAAAAGGCAATAGGTAAATGTTCAAAAAACCCAGATTTAGAAATTGAAAGTATAGCTGTGACATAAAAAACTCAATGGACAGAGGCACCTGGCTGGCTCAGTCGGTGGAGCATGCAACTGTATCTCAGGGTTGTAAGTTCCAGCCCCATGTTGGGTGTAGAGATTACTTAAAAAGAAAATCTTTAAAAAATTTTTTTAATGTTTATTTTTGAGACAGAGACAGATTCCAGGGCAGGCTCCAGGCTCTGAGCTGTCAGCAGAGCCCAATGCGGGGCTCAAACCCACAAATGGTGAGATTGTAAACTGAGCCAAAGTCAGACGCTCAACTCACTGAGCCACCCAGGTGCCCCAAAAATAAAATCTTTAAAAAAAAAAAAAACTCACTGGGGCGCCTGGGTGGCTCAGTCATTTGAGCATTGGACTTCAACTGAGGTCACGATCTTGTGGTTTGTGAGTTTGAGCCTTGCATCAGGCTCACTGCTGTCAGTGCAGAGCCCACTTTGGATCCTCTCTGACCCCTCTCTGCCTGCTTCTCCTGCTCTCTGTCTCTCCCCCCACTCATGTGCTTTCTCTCAAAAATGAGTAAACGTTTAAAAAAATACAAAAAAAAAACCTCACTGCATAGATTAGGTTAGGGGTAACAGAAAAGAGTGTTAGAAACCCAAAAAGTTGATCTGTGCAAATTACCAGAATACAACAGAGAATGAGATTGAACTCAGATTGAGTTCAGAAAGGAGGGTTAGAGAATGGAATGAAAAGGACTGTTTACATATATCTGAATAGGAGTTTGAAAAATGAAGCCATGAAAAAGATCGTGGCTGAGAATTTTTCAGAATTGAAAAATTTGACTCTCTAGATTCAAGAAGCAAATGATCCACATACATACTTTGAAGTGAAACTTAGAATCAGTGATAAAGAGATAATCTAAATTGAGCCAAATAGTAGCTATAATTTTCACATCATACATAGGCCTGGGTATTATGATAGGCTCTTTGAGGAATATAAGAATATAAGATACAGTCCCGATATTCAAGGATTTATCAATCTGGTAAAGAAAAGAACATACAAGTAGTCAAGTCAGTAGTTTTCAACCTTAGCCCTTTTATGAAATATTTTTATATTTATTTATTATGAAAGTCATAGCTCATACCTACTTTCACACATAATTTTTTAAAATATCAAATAATGTCCTAACCATAATAAAAAGGAGAACTAAAAAGATAGGTAATTTACAACCAGATGACATGTATCTTAATATACAAATGTTCAGGCAAATCATTACAGTCTTCTATTTTGAGAGGGCAGTAACTGTAATTATAATGTGGATAACATGTCAAACAAATTAGATTGACAAAGTAAATAAAATTATTTAGACATTTTCACATTCTTTGGATTCTGAAATTCTGTGATGTGTCAAGGCAGTGTTCAGTCTGTAATGCTATAAAAAGATTGGGTATCCTTTCCTTAAAAAAAAAAAAAAAAAAAAAAAAAAAAAAAACAAAAAAAAAAACCAAGAAATAGAGGATGGATTGGAGAAAGGACACTAAATGCATGAGATTTTTTTAGAATTTGTCCTGTAAGAACATCTTCAGTTAAATTAAAAACCATGTGTAAAAACAAACAAACAAAAACACCCAACTGTAATCCAAACTTAATTGTAGGAGTTCACAGCATAAATTTCTCATTATGCTACAGATTTGTTTCTTTCCAAACCGTTAGGAAATAGAGTGGCTGGCTCACTTAATTCTTTCTTACATTTTGGACTTCTTCATAAGCTCCACTTAATAGTAGGGATAGCAGAATGTATGACATGGTTTTTTTCCTTCTTCTCAAAGCAAATTAAAAGCCACTAGGTGGGCGCCTGGGTGGCTCAGTCGGTTAAGCATCTGACTCTTGGTTTCAGCTCAGATCTCTCAGGTTTCGGTTTCGTGGGTTCAAGCCCCACAACGGGCTCTGTGCTCTCTCTCTAAATAAAGTTAAAAAAAAATTTTTTTTAAAGCCACTAGGTAATACTGTGCTGCCTTACATGGTGTCTAGAAGGCTTTAATGGTAAGAAATAGACAGTTAGTCCAGATAATGGAACATTGCCAAAAAAACACCAAGGCAGGATGAGTACTGGCTCACTTGGGTGATTTGCCATTTTTATTGATGCTTCTTACTACCAATGTGGTAGTAAACATTTGCTCTTAATATTTTCTTTTCATAATTAAACATGCCCCCATTTTCTTTTTCATTCCTCTTACTATCTGATACCTAGATTGCTATGGGAGTTTCCTAAAAAAAAGCCAGTGGTTCTTTCTTCTTGACAGATTAATCTTTCCGAAGTGTTTTTTCTTACCGTTCTCTTATTCTAGAACTGTGCTATACCTTCTAGTCATGTTACTGTTTTAATTGAAATTAAAAATTCATTCCTTCAGTCAGTCTACCCACATTCCACATGCTGCACACAGAGAATATTTTCATAACCATAGAAAGTTTTACTGGACAATGTTATTTAAGAACCTAACCATTTTGCCCCATTGCCAATTAGCATAAGTCCAAAATCTTCATTACCCAACAACTTTATTAAACATCTCTTTGGTACATAGCACAAGACTAAAAATCATAGAGGTGCTAAAATGTATTATATAGTCTGACTTCACACAATTTAGGGACAAGTTGCCGAGGTCCTCAATAATAAATAAAAATAAATAAAAATAATAAAAAATAAAAATCCAAATATCAGTTCAGAGTTACAAGGGGTCAAGAGTTGGGGAAAGAAAGCTCATTTACGTAATATCAAGGGGACCCTACAGAAGGTAGGATTTGTGATGGACCTTAAAGGATTGAGTAAGATTTCAGCAGGTGAGGATTTAGACAGGAGAACATTCAGGAGAAGGAATAACTCTTAGACACACAGAAGTGGAAAAGTGGATTATTCAGGAAACAATGAAAGATCCATTTTTCAGTGTGCCTTATATGTACATGGGAAAAAATAATAGCTGAAGTTTTGGAGAGTTTTGAAACAAAGTCTTAGGACATTAATTTGTTTTATTTGCAACTGAGAGCCATATCTGGGAACCTGAAAAGAGTGAGGTTTGTTAAAAGTTTATAGAAATGTTGAAAGAAATGTGAGAGCCTAAACTAGAATTTAGAAAAAAGAAAAGGATGAAATAAATGCACAAGACATCGTTGAGAAAGAGTTGACAGACTTGACAATTTAAACAGTATATTAGGAATAAGGTTAGTCCTATTTTATGAGAATGATGATTGCGTTAATATAAATATGGAGAATTTTTATTTGTACAGGAAACATAAGTTGGAATTTGAAGTGTCTGTAGGACATTGCTTTTTTTAACATTTTTAACTAACTTGAATAGGAATAAAGTGCTGCATAAAAGTGTCATGACCATTATTTGCCTGATAGTTTGTATGCCAGCAATACTTTTTTCTTACCACTTCACAAGTCATGTCAGATACTGTCCCACTTACAGAGTGCTCCAGTACACACTAACCTATTTCCTTGGCCTTCACTGGATTTTATATCTAGAGAACATGCGTAGCTGTGTAGTTTTTTTTTTTGTTTTTTCGGGGTTTTTTGGTAATGTTTCATGTCTATTCCTTGTCTTCCCCAGCTAACTTGGAAGTTCTCAGGTTAAGCATTCTGTCATATTCTCTGTATTCCCCTACCACAGCTAACAGATGGGACAGGACAACTGTAAGGGCTTATTAACATGCAAGATGAATAGCATAATAAACAGTTTAAGCTACATCAGATTTAAATCTATTGTAATTGTGTCTTTGTAAAGTTTATTTAAAAATGTGGGGTTTTTTTGGCAAAACACACTTATTTCATGTCTCCATAGACTGTTTCATACTAACTTTTTTTTTAGTTTAGGAAAACAATTTGAAATAGGAAGACTGATAGAGTCTTATTTAATGTCTTATGGCTTTGGTTTAGTATGGTCTTTACATTTAATTTTTTTAACATCTGTTTTCCTGGAATTTATACTGTTCTGTGTAAGAGTTTAAATTGTAATTAAATATAATTTTATTTTATATGTTATGTTACATTTAAAAATAAAAATCTGTATTGACTTGCAGATATATCATTGTGGTGGAGCATGATCTAAGTGTATTAGACTATCTCTCTGACTTCATCTGCTGTTTATATGGCGTACCAAGTGCTTACGGTGTTGTCACTATGCCTTTTAGTGTAAGAGAAGGTAACTTGAAAAACTATTTCCACAATGCTGTATTATTTCACTCTAATGCTTAGAAAATGTATTGTTGATATTCAGCAGTTACATGTTGCTCTAATATTTATCCAAAACTCCAGTCTTAATGGAAGTTAATCACTCAACAATGTATATCTAAGGTTATGTACATTGTTTGTTATTCAAAACTTTCTTTTTGGAGAATTTTCTATTGCAATGGGTAGAAATGCTGTATCAGTTTCACTGTTTGCTATCTTAAAAGTTGTTTATTATATTTTGGCTTCTACAACTTCTAGTATTTATCATCTTCAGCTTTATCTTTGAAAGGCCAGAACCAGTAGTGAAACTCTTAATTAGTGCTCATCTTGTTCCCATTTTTCAAATTTTTCTATAATCTGTGTCTTAAGTTTGTAGAACTTAAGACTGTCTAGAAGTCTAATAAGATAGTAAGTGTATTAAATTAAAACAAGATAGTGTCATATAGTTTAATGAGTAACTAGAAGCCTAATAAAATAGCTTAATAAGCCTATTTTCATTTATTCCTTCTACTGTCAGGAAAGAGGGACTCTCTGGCGTCTCTTTTCCGTGTCTCTTCTCCACCTAAGCAAGTTAGGCAAAACTAAAAACTAACCTACTACTAAGTGGCTCCTGAAACAAATATCAGTGCATTCTCCACCTAGTATGCCTTTTTCTTTTTAATTTCTTTGCCATTTCCTACCACTGATTTCTTTCTCCTCTTTTCTTTATATTTCATCTTTTCAGCTGTGCCTTCAACTGACAAAAAGACTACCTAGTTCATAGTTTGAAAAAATTCCTATTTTATAAGAATAATTATTCATGTAGTCTTGTATGTAGATGCCTAGGTTAGGCAGGCTCCTTTTTAAAACAATCTCTTCAAGAATAATTTTTGAGATACGTAAGTACTTATCTGCTTGTACCTTTGAGATAAACATGCATATGTTCAGGAAAAAATTTGTGAGATTGCTTAATTTTCTTTCCAATAGTCTTAAGAGATGATATCAGAAAGTTATTAATTTTTTATTCTCCTCAATTAGCAAGTATTTATTATCAATTCTATACCTTGTAATAGGTCCAGAATTGCATTGATAATGAGGTAGGTTCCTGGCATTCACTCTTAACAATTGTAGTTATAAATGCCTTGTCTAAAAGCTATGCCTTTTTTTTTTTTTTTTTAAGTTGTTTGTTTTGTTTTCAGAGAGAGCGAGCCAGGGAGGGGCAGAGAGAGAGGGAGAGACAGAATCCCAAGCAGGCTCCGCACTGTCAGTACAGAGCCAGATGCCGGGCTCGATCTCACAAACCATGAGATCATGACCTGAGCCAAAACCAAGAGTCGGATGCTTAACTGACTGAGCCACCCAGGTGCCCCTAAAAGCTATTCCATTTAAGAAATGGTTCCTGTTGAAGCTTTTAATGTGCCTCGTTTGTTAAAACAATTCTAGTAAACTTTCCTTCTTTCTGCTTTCTTTTAATATACTGAAATTAATGTCATACATAACGTAAAAGCTCTCTTTGAGCTCTAAAGACAGTTATAGCTTAGACTCAGTTTTAGATTGACAAGTTTTACAGTAGAAATGGAAAGGCTGGTTTTTTAATGTCTCTGCACACAATTTTCTGAGTCTTCATTTCCTTACCTGATAAATTAGGCATTTGGAATCAGTGGCTACTAAGGTTTCCGTCAAGTCTATGTTCCCTTCTAACTTTTGGTTTTAATTTTTTTAACCTCACATTTATAATTTTTAAAGAGTTTTATGATCAAAAAATACTAATTTTGGCAGGATGAATTTATTCTTTCAGCAAATATTGAACACCTGTGTTCTAGGCGGAGGCTGCAGTCCCCCAGATAGGGCTCTGAGTTCCAGATGAGATGAATAACATCCTCAAGCTTTCTTTCGAGACCTTCCAGACTTGAGCTACTATCTTTCTTTTATCTTAAATATAGGAATCACTGAAAATAGATCTTTGCATTTTTCCCATGTAATCCACTTTTTCATTTCTGTGTCTGCCATTGCACATCTTCACAGTTTTAATATGGAGGGATTCTCGTGCACAATATGTTAGTTTTCTTTCAGTCACTAAAAAATGTTTAGATAATGGTGTATATTTTTGTACAGTGAAGCCAAAAAAATGTTAAATGAAGTTCATTATTATAAATGTGTTGCAAACCTGTAAAATTAATCTGAAAACATGCAGTATTTTAGAACTTCAGCTTATGGTATCTAGATCTCATGTGAAAATGCATATTCATAACTTGTTTATTTAAAAAATTATTCTCCAGACTGTATTATTTTATGTCAGTCTATGAAAATACTCCCATTTTTTACTTGTCATTTTTTGAGAAAAATCACAAGTTTTGATTTAAAAAAAAACAGAAACGGCACCATATTCTTTTGCACAAAACCTGATGGGGAAGAAAATCTTATATAAAAATCACATCATTAGTGAAAAGATATTCTTTGTACATATATGCTTAAGTTTTTTAAACTTGTATCAAATACATAAGACACCCTGTTGTCACTGCATGTTACCACAAATTCACAGATATTTGAAATCTGTGCTTAGATTGCTCCCAGGAGAGCCTAGGATTTTGGGTTTTATATGATAATTTCTTGCTGTGGAAAAGATTACTCTTTAAATGACCTTCACTAATCTTTTGTCAATGACTTTCCAACAGGCATAAACATTTTTTTGGATGGCTACGTTCCAACAGAAAACTTGAGATTCAGAGATGCATCACTTGTTTTTAAAGTGGCTGAGACAGCAAATGAAGAAGAAGTTAAAAAGATGTGTATGTATAAATATCCTGGAATGAAGAAGAAAATGGGAGAGTTTGAGCTAGCAATTGTAGCTGGAGAGTTTACAGATTCTGAAATCATGGTGATGCTGGGGGAGAATGGTAAGTTTTCCTTATTTTGTGATATTTGGAAGTCTGTTCTGTTTATCCAGTTACTTTGTTTCAGCTACTCCATGAAAAATTTTGACTCAGTTGTAAGTGGGAGCTAGACTGAATCCATACATTTCTCAGTGTAGTTCACATTTTATAACATTGTATGATTTAATGTCATTGCCACCCAGTCAAGTTTATATTTCATATATTTTGTTCCATAACTTTTAGTGAAAATAAGATACTTTTCCAAGCTAGTTTTTCTGTGTATAAATTATTAGGGGATTTATTCATCTTAGAAACAGATGAGGAAGGAAAGGATAAAATAATAAGGTAATTCAGAAGGAATCTAGTTTAAGATTTTTTCTTGAATTCCTCCATTTGAGCTTTTATTATTTTAAATTCAGGCTAGTCTACCTTTGTAAATAGTTGTTATTACCTGAATTTTCAATTTTAGATTACTGTCATAAATAGGGCTATGAGTTGAATTCGAGTACCAAATGTCTGGTATTGCTTTCAAGATTGAAAAAAAAAGATTTGAATTGTATACTTATAGCTTATAAGTCTATAAAAGAGAAGTTTTCTACGACGATTTTGCCATGTATTTCAGTCTTTACGTAATGGAAGAATTTTGAACCGGGTTGCGTTTTAGGCAAATGGACTTTCACATGATGGTAGCAATCATAACAATATTACATTCCTTAACAATAAATTGTATTGGTATTTAAGCTAAAAAAGTCTTTTAAAAAGTAGCCCAAAACTTGTAATGGTTACTAATAAGATTTATTAGTCTATATTCCTCTAATTAGTTTCGAATGATACTTCAGAAGCATATCATGAAAGTTTCAAGTATTTTTGTTTAGGCTTCAGAATTGAGTAGTGTCAGTGTATACCTTTAAAACTAATTTCTCAATTAAAATCCAGTAGTGTACATAATGTTTTACTTTAAGTAAACATGAAGCATCTTACAAGTCTGTTTGTTATGTATATTGTGTTGGCAGGTACTGGTAAAACCACATTTATCAGAATGCTTGCTGGAAGACTTAAGCCTGATGAAGGAGGTACTGTTGCATCGTTGTGTTTTTACTCTTTCCCACATAGGAAACTTTGAAGATATGGGTAATTTTCAGTGTCTTCTTTATTTGCATTATTTTGCAGGAGAAGTACCAGTTCTCAATGTCAGTTATAAGCCACAGAAAATCAGTCCCAAATCAACTGTGAGTTATTATTCTGTTATTTGGTTACTAAAGGAAAGTTTATGCACACACACACACCTATAGCTTTAATCTTTCACTGTATCAAAATTCTTCTCCAAATTTCTGTGTTTTACCAAAAATGGCTAAAGAAAGAATTAAGACATAAGTGGTTGATTCATTTCCACATAACACTAGCAAGAAAATAAAAGGCCACCTACAAGATGGGCGAATACATTTGCAAATCATTTATCTAATAATACTCATATCCAGACTCATATCCAGAATATACATAAAGAACTGTTACAACTCAGTTTAAAAACAGACAAAGGATTTGAATAGACTTTTTTTTTTTTTTTTTTTTTAAAGTAGGCTCCACACCCAGCATGAAGCCAGTGCAGTCAATCCTAAAATCAATCCCTGATCTGAGATCAATCCCTGAGCTGAGATCAAGAGTCAAATGCTTGGTGGGGCACCTGGGTGGCTCAGTTGGATGAGTGTCCGACTTCGGCTCAGGTCATGATCTCATGCTTCGTGGGTTCGAGCCCTGCATCAGGTTCTGTGCCGCCAGCTTAGAGCCTGGAGCCAGTTTCGGATCCTGTGTCTCCCTCTCTCTCTGCCCCTCCCTCACTCGCCCTCTGTCTCAAAAGTAAATAAACATTTAAAAAAACAAAGAGTTAAACGCTTGGGGCGCCCAGATGGCTCAGTTGGTTGAGCATCCAACTCTTGATTTCAGCTCAAGTCATTATCCCAGGGTCGTGGGATCGAGCCCTGTGTCAGCTCTGCACTGAGTATGGAACATGCTTAAGATTCTCTCTGTCTCTCTCTCCTCCTGTCCCTCTCTCTCAAAAAAAAAAAAAAAAAAAAAAGTCAACCGACTGAGCCACCCAGGCACCCCTGAATAGACATTTTTTCAAAGAAAATATTCAAATGGCCAAATAAGCACCTGAAAAGATGCTCAGTACCATTAGTCATTAGGGAAATGCAAATCAAAACTACAGTGAGATATTGCACACCCACTAGGATGACTTAAAAAGACAGTAACAAGTTTTGGTGAAGATGTGGAGAAATTGGAACCCCATACATTGCTGATGGGAATGTAAAGTGGTAGAGCCACTTTAAAAAAAAAAACACCTGGCAGTTCTTAGGATTTTTTTGTTTGTTTGTTTTTAGTTCTTACGATTAAACATAGTTACATACGAACCAACATTTCCACTCCTAAATACATACCCAGGAGAAATGAAGACCTATCTCAACACAAAAATTTGCACACAAATGTATTCATAATAGCCAAAAAGTGGAAAACAACCACAATGTCCATCAATTGTAAATGGATAAACACAATGTGCTATATCCATGAAATTGAATGTTATTTGATCATAAAAAAAAAAATACTGATAAATTTTAAAATATGAACCTTGAAAACAAAGTTAACCTTTGGTTCTGCAAGTATTGTAGTGAACTTCTTAACTATGGTATTTGCACTCAGGACCTCAGCCTTCACTTTGTTAGGCCTATTTGAGATTGCTTAGATTTACACTAAAAGTTTTATCATTGGGGGCACCTGGGTAGCTTAGTCCAACTCTTGATTTTGGCTCAGGTCATGTCTCACGGTTCGTGAGTTTGAGCCCCACGTTGGGCTCCACACTGACAATACAGAGCCTGCTTGGGATTCTCTCTCCCTTTCTCTCTGCCCCTCCCCTGCTCACACTCATACTCTCAAAAATAAATACTTAAAAAAATTTTTATCGTTGGTACTTTGTATAAGCTTAGCTTTTAAGTTCTCAGACTCGGCCCTCTCCTAAAATAACAAGCACATGACATCTTTAGAAATCATCCCTATTATGCATTTTGTCCTATCTTGCTGATTGCCTAAGGGTACTTGATACCCACACTGACCTTGAGCATTTTTCCTATTCTCAAATGATTTCTTAAACTTTTTCTTTTTTTTTACTATTTATTTATTTAGAGATCAAGAGCAAGCAGGGGAGGGGCAAAGAGGGAGACAGAGAATCCCAAGCAGGCTCCGTGCTTTTAGCACGGAGCCTGACCACAGGGCTGAAACCCTCGAACCGTGAGATCATAACCTGAGCCGAAAACCAAGAGTCAGACGTTTACCTGACTGGGACACCCAGGCGCCCTACCAAATGATTTCTTTCTTGAAACAGTCATTGTTTACTACTCTAAGATTTTAAGATTGTTTTTACTTGTTGGACATGATGGGTTTCTAATAATTTTAGGACATGCCATAGACGATGGAGAAGCAGAATACTATCATATCTGTGGGTGGTAAATTGATATACTTTTGCTCTGGAGCTTAACTTGGTGAAGATACATAGAGGAGTTCTGTACTGAAAATTCCAATACTTTTTTCACTAAAAACAGGGAAGCGTTCGACAGTTACTACATGAAAAAATAAGAGATGCATACACTCATCCACAGTTTGTGACTGATGTGATGAAGCCTCTGCAAATTGAAAACATCATCGATCAAGAAGTATGTATTTTGGTTCTTGTTATGTTATTATTTTAAGCTTTGGGTGTCTCTGCGTAGTTTGCTAAACTTTTTTTCTCCAAATAGGTGCAGACGTTATCTGGTGGTGAACTGCAGCGAGTAGCTTTAGCTCTTTGTTTGGGCAAACCGGCTGATGTCTATTTAATTGATGAACCATCTGCATATTTGGATTCTGAGCAAAGATTGATGGCAGCTCGAGTTGTCAAACGGTAATGTCCTGCCACTAAGAGTATTACTTTTAGTTAATGTGCACTGGCATACAACGGTGCTTAATACACATTTGAATATTTGATCATGTAAAACTGGAAACATGTTCAAAATCATGTATTTTAGTTTCATACTCCATGCTAAGAAGACAGCCTTTGTTGTGGAACACGACTTCATTATGGCCACCTATCTAGCAGATCGAGTCATCGTCTTTGATGGTATTCCATCTAAGAACACAGTCGCAAACAGGTACAACTGTTTTCTGAAATATTCAAGCCTAATTATAAGTTCTGTTAGAAAAGTATTATTCAGAATTTTCCAAGAAGCTTATAAACATTAATCATACCATTTTAATTTTTAAAGAAGTAGCCAGAAATTCTAAGAATGATTCTGTGACTCCCAGGATTATTCATATTGAATACTGGATGGAAGTGTTCAGACTATATAGTTCAGTTTATTCCTGACCCTAGGGAATAAGCATGCAGAGCTCTGGGCTGCTCAGCTTTTCTTGAAAGTTAACTTTTGTCTGCTTCATTATTTGGATTTTCAAAACATACTAGGATTTTGATTTTGCAGGTAATTCCCTGAAAACCATAGATGTTTTTGCATACAGCAGTTAAGGAAACAAGGTTATATGATTTGCCCAACTTACACTGCTAGTGGTAATGCTCATAGTGGACCCCAAATATCTGGTATTGATCTATAGCAGGGTCAAAATGATTTTACCTTTTCTCCTTATTTTCTCTAATTTTTCCTTATTGGCCTGATTTAGAGCTCTTGTAATTTAGAGAAGTCTCACATTGAAATCAGTTTATGAGGAATGTCTTAGTGCTAAAACCCTCTGTTAAGTTGAACCGTATGAAATTACTGACATTCAGCCATTTTTTACCTATAAAAAGAGCAATTTCGTGTGATTCCATTATGTTCTCTGATTTTAGGGAGGAAAGGAGTTGCTATTTGAATAAAAGTACTTTACTGAGCTTCTTCCCAGAATTTCTTTTCATTTTAATTTGTTCATCAATTGGGAATTCCATATTTCTTTGACAGGGCAATTTCATAGGCTCTGTAAAGCTTATTTAAATAACCATCATCTGTATTTACAAAAAATGCTTATTAAAGTGTTTCACAAGTATGATGTAATTTAGTGTGATTTAAGAACTAATTTGGGTAAAAAAAGATGAATGATGCATAGAAATGGAAAAAGGAGGTACGAGTAAAATCCCTTGTGCTGTACATACTCCCTCCAGTGCCAGATTTCTGATGTGAACTTTACCTTTTCTGTTAAATTCTCTTATCTCCTATAAATGTCAGATTTGAAATTCTGTAATCTCCTAATTAATGATCTTTTGTTTTTCTATAGTAGTAACTTCTATCTTAAATGTTTCTTTTTCCAGATTAGAAACACAGGTCAAACTGGGTCTGTTTTGCACAAAATATTATAGCCAAACTAAGTACTCCAAGGAAAGACACTTCTGAACATAGAATTAATTTATAATATGCTATAATTATATACTATTATCCAGATATGATTAAGGAATTAAAACAGTGATGCTTAATATTAATACTCTTCAATCCCAAAAAGTAGTTAACTTTGGTGGGATGAATTTTAATCACAGAATTTAATCACATGAATTTTTCCTCTAGTCCTCAAACTCTTTTGGCTGGCATGAATAAATTTTTGTCTCAGCTTGAAATTACATTCAGAAGAGATCCAAACAACTATAGGCCAAGAATAAACAAACTCAATTCAATTAAGGTATGTAGAAAAGCTATCTTAAATCGTGGTTAATTTCTCATTATAAATCATTGAAAGGCATGTTTCAAATTGGAAGACTTTCGTGAAAAATTTTGTCATTTCATTAATTCTGATTCATATTTTTCTCATTTAATAGTCTGGTAGGCAGTAATTCTGATATAGTTGCTATTGCTACATGGACTCATACCTGTTATCTCGAGTTGTACCCACTGTTGTACTGCCTGTGTTGAGTTTACTTGCCTTTTTAATATCTTCAGAAAGATTACACTAATTCACTGTTGATACAGAGTTTTTACAAATGACCGGTTTCTCTTATTTTTCAAGAGCACGAGAGCAACACCTGATTAAAATATTTTAAGAATCCAAGCAAACGTCTTCAATGAGCATAAAATTCTACACAATGGAAAAACATTTTGTCAGTTTAATTGGCAGCGTTTTTCATTGGTGTACATAAAATAATTGATTATGCTCCTTATAGTTGATGTAGACTATGAAACGTGGTTTTTTTTTTTTTTTTTTTTTTAGAAGATAATAATTACTTGGTCACTTGGGGAAAAAAGCAAATGACTTCTAAAAAAGCGTTTCTGTGTTTTTAAATACCTCCTGCAGTGCCTGCTTAAAATGCTGCTTATGCTTCATGGCCCTCTAGCCCTTGTTTTTAATACTACCATTTACTAGATTTTATTATTTTCATATTTGTACTCTAGCTTTTCCACTAAAGTGTATGACCTCTTGGAAAGCAGAGACAAAGCCAACATATACATTCTGTATTCCTAAAGAGCTAACAGTGTCTTAATGCCTTTAGGCTTCACTGTGTATTTTGTTTGGTATGCTTTATCTTACTCTCTAGCCAAGATAAGGAAATTACAATTACAGTTTTAAGCCAGTATGTAAACTGAACTGGGAAAAAAATAGTTCTGTATGAGTTCTGTGTAATAGGCAGTTCTCAAACTAGACAATGTTACCTTTTGGACTGGGAGTTTAAAGTCAGAATGATAAAGGTGGAATTCAAGAGTTCAGCTGGAAATAGTATTTTAAAAAGCAGAATTTTACATGCATACGTAAGGCATGTTCTATGAAGAGGCTTTGCTTGAGGATGGACCAAGGGAAGTGTTCTGGTTGTAGGGATGACTAGCAGAAGTAGTAATCCTGCCTTTGATTTAGTGGACCCACAAATGTCTAGAAGCAGACAGTGCGTGCAGAGGAGGTTGTATAGACACTTGTAAACACTGCTAAACAAGACTGGGTGAAAGACTACCCCCCCTACGTATAGGAGAATGGTGTTGATTTTTGTTGCTTGTTTCATTTTTTAGGATGTAGAGCAAAAGAAGAGTGGAAACTACTTTTTCTTGGATGACTAGACTGAATCTGAGAATGTTGAGAAGCCATTTCTTAAAAGAAACATTTATTGGGAATTTTGTCATATAAAACTTGAATCAGGTTTTTAATGCCCCACATACTCTGGAGCTTGAAGTATAATTTACTTAATGTAACATCAAAAGCCAGTTGTGTTGTAAATTAGTACGAACACAGAAAATGCCACTTTTCTGTTCTTGATAAGGCCCTTTTTGTATATAACATTCTAAAATGAAGACATTTCAAGCTATACAAATTACCTCCCAAGTTTTCATGATGTATGGGAAGATTTCAGTAGGTGTTATCATATTCGTGTACCAAATGCTGACCAGTGTTGCTCCCTTTTAAAAATCTTGAAAAAGCTTTCCGTACTTCTAGTTTGCCAAATATGCCAGTATAATGAAACTGCCCTTGTTTTAAAAGCCGAAGACTCCACTAATGAAATTTGATAAATAAACATCAGGATTATATTTGTTACTTGTTTTCAGTCTTTGCAAGTGTGTTTAGACTTTCAAAGCAAAATTACTACAAAACCCCACTGTTGGAAAATGGCCATGTTCCCAACTTAGCATTGTTTACAGCGTTGTTTTCGGTGTGTTTTAGTATCAAAAATCATTTCCACACACCACCCCCATCTGCCAGAAAAAAATCCTAACTTTCCTCTGAATTACTCAGTTTCAGCATTCCGTAAGATTCTATAATTCTCCCAAGTAATGTCATTCTTTAGACATTTGTGTAATCATTGATCAAAATTTAGGAAAAGCATTTTAAAGAATATTTGCTTCCTTCAAAATATTTAGAGTTGATGCCTAAGCGTCTGTGTAATTTTAAACTTCCACAGGTTTCTGATGGGCAGCCAAGGACAACATTACAGGCGACATTAATGCAAACGAGTCCCCAGATAGCATTGTAAAATATCTCTTGGTACCAAATATACTCATCTCCACGTTTGGATCTAGAGGACATTAATTACATCTGTTTGACTTTGGAGTTTTGGATAGTATGTAGCAAGAGCTCTAAAAACTTACTGCATCTCAAGTTCCTGAGTTTGAACAGTGGGATGTGGTGTGAAACCACTCTCAATTACACTTCTAGTGCACTGAACTGGAACTTATACTACAAGTGAGGAAAAGAGTTTACTGAAATGAATTAATGGGGCAGGTAAAATAGGAAAATTAGAAAATTACTGAACAAACTTTTAGAGCTCCTTAAAACCATAGAAGCGTTAATTAACATGCAGACAATGAATAGAGAATGTGATTTAACTGGTCCCCTTTAGGCCTTTTAAAAATTTATGAGTAATCCATAAATACATGTTTGTTGTGAAAAATTCAAACCTACTGAAATACATGTTAATAAAATGTCCTCTCCTCACATTACCCTCCCAGAGGTTACCAGTGTTTGCATTTAATAATATATATCCTTTTATGCTTTTTCTGTGCACTTAGCTAAGTGTGAATATGTAAAGGGTTTGTTTTGTACATAAATGGGATTATACTAAAATAAGTAGTGGCTATTTTTAAGGATAGGTTAAATTTGTGAATGATTATTTCAAGTATATTGAATAAAATAAGACAAAAGCTGTTTTTACTTACTGATTCCATATTCTGTCCTAAAGAAAACACTTGTGGTAAAATAAGCACAGTTCTACGTATTGCTGACGACAGAATATGTATTAACTGTAATATTGTTTGTGTAAATGAAATTTTTAAAATATGGATTTAGACGTTAAACTTTTATATAGCAATAGAAAAGATCTTACAGGGGCGCCTGGGTGGCGCAGTCGGTTAAGCGTCCGACTTCAGCCAGGTCACGATCTCGCGGTCCATGAGTTCGAGCCCCGCGTCAGGCTCTGGGCTGATGGCTCAGAGCCTGGAGCCTGTTTCCGATTCTGTGTCTCCCTCTCTCTCTGCCCCTCCCCCGTTCATGCTGTGTCTCTCTCTGTCCCAAAAAATAAATAAATGTTGAAAAAAAAAAAATTTAAATAAATAAAAAAAAAAAGATCTTACAGTTGCTAACACAAGTTTTTCTATAAAAACCAACTCAAATACACTACCAATGCAGATGTTAGCTATTAAATTTGGACATTGGAAAATCTCTCTAAATGGTGCAACAGTTCATAAATACACCATTTATTGAAAATATATAAAATATTAAAATACCAAAAGGATACTCAAGGCAGTAAGCCTTTGGGAATGCGAACTTGGCTAAATAACAGGCAAAGGAAAGGGGATATATACACATATGGCCATTACCTTTTGAACTTCATATACTGTATCAACTGTTTAGAGATCATTTAAGTTTTTAAACCTTCAATAAAGAATCTGTATTATGTTCAACCAGTGTACAGCAGTATTAACAAAAGCAGTGTATTTATGCAATTTAGGTTTACCTGATATTAGACCATAGCATCTTGAAACCCAGTCCCGAATCTCTTGCTTATAATTGCATAGTTTGACATCTGGCATGTAGTTTGCCTTCTACATCGTGGCCAGAGATAAACAACTCAGTTTATAATTTCATCCATATCCATTAACATTTAGATACATTTATGTCAAGCTCACAACCCAGTGTTTGGCGAATGCACACTCTGGTTCAGAAGAGAAACCATTCTGGGTTGGAGAGTCAGGGCTAAGTGAAGGAGGTAGCTCCCAGAAAAAGTAACCTCTACAATGACAAATGATAATCTAATGCGAAGCAGAATGTCAGGTGAGACAGAAATCAGCATGGGCATGAAGAAATGAGAGGAAAGGATGAATACAGGCAGGTTTAGTGGATTCTCATCGCCTTCATTACAGGTTTTTACGTGCTCGTTAGGGATTGAGGAGATAAAGCAAATACCAGTTAAGGCAGCAGCTAGAATTACCAAGACAGCAGTTCTTCAACAGCTTTTAGTTTTTATTCTGTCGTCTTTCAGTATTTTGGAACCACTTAGATCCTGTCCACTTAACTGTTTCTGCTACCTCTTACTCTTGATGGGATTATTTCCTTGCCTTTTGGTTAATGAATTGATGTTGTGGTATTTTATCTGTGAAAATCCCAAGGTTTAGTGCGCTAAACACTCCCCTTTTCCTTCCCAACCTTGTACTCACCAGCACCTCCTTCCTTGCAGTTTCATAGGGTAGTATGTACCCAGCACCGGACAGTGGGTCATAAATGAGCAAAGACAATCATGACAAGTCCTTCTTCATTTTCCTAGTCTTAGAGCTAGGCATGGCCATGTTGACCCAGTTCTAGCCAGTAAGTTCAAAGTAGAAGTCTCTTGGAGTGTTTCTGGAAGCCCTCTTGACTTCTTGAGAAAAGGAGATACTTATCTGGTAATACTTCTTGTGGATTTGTTACCATAAAGTGGCATAGGGAAATGCCAAGAAAGCCACAAGGATGCTAGTCTTCACATTAAAACTGTACAACTGCCACCTACCACTTCCCTCGAGATTTCTCATGAAAGGGAAATAAAACTTTATTTAAGCAGTTAAGTCCAAACAACCTTCCTGTTAAAGTAACTTTGCCTCCTTGGCTGAGGTCTGTCTCATGGAAGGCTCTGCATTCATTTCTGGCTAGGCGACCCACATATATTACCAGCTAGAAACTACTTTTCATCTTAGCTTGCCAACACATTCTCAGTGTTTGGGGCTTTTAGGTTTATCTTACTTTAGGATTGCCTTTTTTGCTGGGGTGCTCCTGGCTTTAATGCAAATGTTAGTTCCAGTTCCCAACCCTGCACGTGCCCCAGTCTCTCCTGTATCTACACAGTTCACAGCTAATGAAACTGTCAGCCACGTCCATCCATCCCTTTTCATGGAATGCAGGCTTAGTGTCACTTTATGTCCATACCTTGGGTTTCTGGCCTCCACTTTTGGCCCTTACTTTGTGAATATACCCTATATAATTCTATATACCCTATAAAAGTATACATAATTCAAATACTTTTAACTAACTTCTGGTCTAGGAAGTAATACACAGGAAACATTCAACAAGCTACATAGTCATAGTAGCAGGTACATACACAGGTAGGTACATACATATAGCAGTTAGTCTGGTTTTCTACTCCATCTGAAGGTGGTTAGCCTAAAGCCAAGGTTTTCATTTAAAAGAAAAAAATTAGTACCCAGAATTTTTATTGTGAACAGTTAAGTAAAATATTCAAAGAGATAGGAGGCCATGAGAATCACACTGTTCATCTTCTGTATTTGCATCTTTTGATCTCGATTTTTTTTCTGAATGTGAAAACTGAAATCTAGTTACAGAAATATTATGTACATAAAAAGGATGGACTTTGAAGCTCCAACTTCTCTAATGAACAATCTAAAAAGCCTCTTAACATGTTTACAACCAGTATCTGTAGCTTTACACGTGAAGAGCTTATAAATTTAAGGCTTAGGAAAGGAAGCTGTTTACTTCTTTTGTAGTTTACTTTCTCATACTATTCCCCAAACATGGACCCAACAGCCAAATTAAGCAAAAATACAACAAAATACTCAAAAGTGAAAAGTCCTTTTAATTATAGACAACTTAATAAAAGAAACTGTATAGAACACTTCTGGTCACCTGCTGCCACCTTTTTATCCATCCACTTCAAGTGACCAAATTCAGAAAGTGCCCCACCCAACACCGAGTAACACCCTTCTTGCTTTCCTCATGCTCCAGCATGCCACTCAAGTCTATGGCACTCACTCAGCTAACAGATAAATGCTTCCCTTTGTTTCTCCTTCTCTCCCTCCATTCCAAGGTTCTGTGATACTTCACTCACCTGCCTGGGCAATCTCAAGGTCAGGCCTACATGCCTAACCAATTTATCCTTCCCAGCTTGCTGCCCCTGTTCCCAGCTCACCTTTCCACGAAACACCTGTTACTGAAAGCTTTTGTTTCAGGCTCTCCTTCCTGGGAAAGCCATTCTTTAGACAAAGTCCATATAGTGAGTAGGTTAAACAAATACTAAGAAATTTGGGGTTTCAGAGAGTTTATGTACACCCGCTGGGTCTTAATTTTTTTTTCATGTTTTTAT